TCTATATGTATGGACCTAAAAAAGCTTATTCAAATATTATCATAGTCGCCTGTCATATACAATCTTAAAATCTAACATCTGTAAAATGGATTTACTTTCTTCTAATTTAATTATTTCTCCTTTATGTACTTTATTAAAAATTATTTAATTGTAACATGTGAACAATGTTAAAAATCACTTTTGTTTAGCTTTCGAGCATATAATGTCTCAATTCCAAGTGAGTGTACACCTTGTTAGATATACAGGGCTTGTAAGTCCGGACCTAAAAAAGATATACAAAATTTCTTAAAACCGTTTCAGGGATATGTGGGGGGCTTTAGCCACCCCAATTCAATTGTTATAAAAGACAACACCCTCTTTGTGATACCTCATTGGAAAGCTTGTAAAAATTGCTATTTAAGAGTACTAAACAAAATACTTTTTAATAGTTCAATATATTGAACTATTAAAAAGTATTTTGTAAAAATAAATATATTTTGAGAAATACGCAAAATAATTTTTATAAGTATTTAATTTAATTTCTAGTTATAAATATTAAATTTAACCATTAAATATCAAATTAAACCATTTTGTTGTAGAAAAATCATTAGCAAAAAAACTGGAGAAGACAAAATAATTCTAACAAAAGTATAATAAACTAAAAATGCATACATAAACAAATTGTTCCGTACGGGAATCTATAAAAAGCACTACGGGTTTCGTATTGTTCATCTTTTACGGGAGAAAGGAAGGAAGGCAATCTATAAATCAGGTTTTAGTTTTAATATTTTAAATAGTTTTTGGGACGAAACAAAATTTAACGTTTTATTTATTTATTTATGACTTATTATGATATTCGTATACTATTGCCGTACTCTGCTTAACTGCTAACTCGGTATCACAATAAAGGTCATTGTAACACTCGTTTTACAATATACTATTAAACATTTACCCACATTTAAATTTTCTTAAAGTAAATTTAATATGTCGTTTTCAAGTTTTAATATGTATAAAAGAACATTAAAATTTTAATAAAGCCATTAAGGTCACATATTAGGGTTATAAGGATCGTGTAAACAAAGCAATGCTCTCAATAAACTTCTTGGCATATTATTTTCAGGGAGCATTAACATTTTATAGATATAAACTGCTTGCACAAAAATTCACCACATTTAAACTATTGTGTATTTTTACATCAGAATTGTTAAATCTGTTAATTTGTTTACGACTCACACCTGTAAAATCTTTATTTATTGTGAGATTTTAACCGGATTTATTTTAAAGTGTAGATCTTGATAAACAGTATTTTTAGGTCAAAAAATACCATATTTTCACAGTTTTTGACATTTTAAGGAATAGAGATTTAAAAAAAATCTATGCACGGCAGTGCTCAAAACGACCTATATTAAATTTTATTGAACATTTTTAAGGAGGAAGGATTTTGTAGCCAAATTAAAAATTAACAATAATTATTATAACTAAATATTTACAAAAATTTATTGTCAAGATATCCATGAAAAAACATTAAAATAAAATTAAACTATTAGTAACATGGTATACATATTCCTATGCTTAGTTTTTTGACAAATAAAAAACGCAAAATAAGCCTATCATATCATATCAAAGGGTATTGAAATAAATGGTGGATTAGTAGAGGTGTCGAAAATCTAATTTTAGAGACATTTTAAAATTCTCTATTTTTTGTTTCATTGTTGTTTTACGTTTCTATTGCATTTTTTATTTGTTAAAACTAAGCATAAGAATATTAATACCAAGTTACCATTAGTTTAATTTTATTTGAACGTTTTTTCATGGATAACTTGACAATTTTTTGTATATAGATTGTGCAAATCCGGTTAAAATCGCACAATAAATAAAGATTTCACAGTGGTGAGACGTCAAGGTTAAAAAAAATTATTTAAATTTTATTTTTTGTTTTTAATATCATTAAATAAATTAATTTACGAATTAGTTTTTATTAATCAGCAAAATTTATAAATTCCGATCTAATTTTATAGCGAAGTAATCAATTTCGTACTTAATGAAAATTTAATAAATTTAACCAGTTTTAATTTAATTTTTAGTTTTAATTTAACTCGCAAGCCACAAACCCTTAGAACGTGAGGCTGCGGTCTACAATAGTAAACACCCAGCAGATAATTCAACAATTATCTATGGTCAACAATTAAATAACAGCTGTGCTATTAAATATAGTCTTTCAGGAAAAAGGTATTATTACCAGTGGTTAACTCATACACCACTAGTTTCCAAGCCATATTGGAGCGTAGTACGCTACCGAAACTTGTTCAAAATATTAAAATACAAACTGGGAGAATATGTTGGGGTGCGTTTTTTTGCATGCAGTCTATTTCTAGAAAACCATTGTCTCGTCTTGCATACCGATGGAAGAATCCTCTAAATGCAAATTGCCATTAAAAATATGGCCACTATGTCAGGACGTGCTGTAATTCCTTTCTTAGAGAGCAATGCCTTCCACATTTTGGTTAAGTAGGCCAAGAAATTTATTGTATTGTGGTTAAGAATTTGTTAAATTAATGTTTTATGTTTTAATAAGAAACTTTGCTTTTTTGATTTAAATTTACAAAAATGGTGAATGCGCCGGGGATATATTTTAACATGGCGAGTTTTTGGTCAGCAACAAATTTTATCTTTATATTATAATATAACTATATTTAGTTAGCATACATACTATACAGCATACATGTTAACACCTAAGTAAGCAATCAATAAGATAAGATCTTAATGTTTAACATACAGTGAGCGCATGAAAATCCCCCTCGTTTATTTTTATTATGTTAAATAATACATTAAATCAAAATGGTCGTACTGTCAAAAAGGTCACCTTTTTTTAATGCGAAGTTGGATCGTGTGATGCATCATTAAAAAGATATACTTATTTTTTAGATCATAATTATGATTTATGAGTACAACTTTCAACATTTAAAAATTTTATTTTAGAAATTTGGAATTCCAGTGTTTAGACGTATACCCAGAAAAAACGCGTTGATGTAGTCAATAATTGATTGTTTTTTCATTTCTCCAATAAAAGTTAAAGTTTATTCAATCAAATATGTTTGGAGCAATTGAGGGTAAGGGATTGATGTTATTACAAATATTATATTCAACCCATAACAAAATATTATCAAGTTAAAATTACTTGTTATAGAGTGAATGGCTCTTTAGATTTAAACCTAATGGAAATGTGTATTTCCTTGAAAAAATTTAGAAATGATTGAATTCAAAGTTTATGTGATCAAGGTAAAATTAACAATATTTAATTAAATATAAAATTGATTTATATTAAAAGTTATAATGCATCAACCAAAAATTAAAAACAAATGAAATAGGTAAGAATAGTCTTTTTTTTAATATTAATAATTTTTATTCCAATGGAAACTAAGGTAAAGTAAGTTTTTACTGTCTTACAGTGAATACCAATGTTATCACTGTCTTGAAAAATACTTGTTATTTGCCCAATTATCATTCCCATTTTTTCAATGCGGCCTATATTTCATTTAATGATTGCTAAAATTCAGACAAACGCCACGCCACACATCGGCAACCTGCAATGTGATCCAACTGATTAATCTGTATTTGGGTTATCTCTGGTGTAGGTAGTGTTTGGTTGTTTGTTATATTTGCTAATTTTTTGGGAGTTGTACTTCCTAATCCACAATTGTCAAGGTAAGTTGTACATGTTTTTTAATTGTATGTCAATTATATCTAATTGATAATAAAAAGGTAAATGTGTACTCATATAGGTATATACCGTGGACACAGTTTATCTTTATATTCGGTGTCATGCCTTAAAATGGCTATTTTGCTTAAATGACGAAGTTTTTATTTATTAAAAAAAACTTCTCATAGTCTTTTATTACCATCATGATATACCTGCAGGGCGTCCTGAAAGTATATATTGCTTTAAGACGTTCAGCAATCTTTAGGATTCGCCAATAAATACATAAGATGAAATGTTATGGTTTATATATCGGGACAATTGCATACGGTGCTTTGTCAGGAGAATTTGTTCTTTAATAATTGTACAGTCAAAGTCAATCACAGGGAATGGAACATGCCTTACCTTATTAGCGGGGAAGAATGAAAATATATACAGGGGAAGGAATAAGATTGTTAGCAGTGAGAGAAATTAATGTCATTAATTATTAACAATTGCGAATATCGGGACAATTGCATACGGTGCTTTGTCAAGAGAATTTGTTCCTTAATAATTGTACAGTCAAAGTCAATCACAGGGAATGGAACATGCCTTACCTTATTAGCGGGGAAGAATGAAAATAAATACAGGGGAAGGAATAATATTGTTCACAGTGAGAGAAATGAATGTCATTAATTATTAACAATTGCAAATATTAACCACTCGACAAAAAATAAAAAATAATTTTCACATTTAGTATTATTTTACAACAAGGGCACTTTATTTTAACGATTGTATTACATCTGACAACTGTCAACTAACATAAAACAAACTTCAGCCCGTGACTACCCGAAATTAAGTTAAATCTAGTTTACTGTCGGCGAAACTAAATGGTCATTACAATGTTCATATAAACTTTTCAAATATTGGCGTTGAGGAACTAAATTTAAAACTTGTATTTTTGTTTTGAGATAATGAAATAATTCTAGTATTATTTTACAAGAAGGGTACTTTATTTTAACGATTGTATGACATTTGAAAACTAACTTTAGCCCGTGACTAAAAACATGTTGCTAGATTGTCAATTAGTGTCATGGGAACATGTACGATTTAAACGTTTTAAAGGTGGAAGTAGAATAAATATATTTTTTATTTAAAATTTGTACTTATAGATTAAGGTTTTTATTTATTGTCAATTTTTAATTGTTTATTATTTGTCATAATAATTTTACAGAAATGTAAGAATTAGTTACAAATATGGTCTATTAAAATGGTACAAATTTGCGCATCCACGGCATCAGCATCAGCATCAGCATCCCCGTTTGCCTGCGAGATGCGATCTCAGTTGGGAACCGTCGAACGCTTCGAACGGACGCTGAAAAACAGCGTCGCGACGCGCTAGCGAGCGATCAAAAAGTTTTCGTGTTCTCGTAGAACTCTCTTTTTCTCATCTAGTTACCCGTAATTTTAAGAATGGCTTCTTAAAATAAGGTAAGAACAATTGTTGCATGTTTTAATAAAAATTTAAATATATTTAATTATAAATGTATTCATTTATCAAAAACTATAGTATTATAATATAATATTATTTAAAAAAAAGATAAGTTAAAATTTAATGTTATTTAACTATACTTTTATATTTAATTAACAATTTCCCCCATAACCTTTAACAGTTAGAACTGTCAAATTGTTGTTTACGTTAAGGAAGTATCTCCATTTGAAGAGTTTAATAAATAAATAAATAACAGTAGGTCGTGACAGCAAATTCTAATGTAGTAAAAACAAAACGTTGCATTTTAATTAACAAATTAATACTTTATTACAAATTAAAGTATCAACAAAAACCAAAAACAAAATAAAAAGTAAATAAGTAACAATATAAATTATTAATTTTTTGTTATAATGGGTACTTTAAGATTTAAAATTGTCATATTTTTGTTTAAGTGAGCAGCACGAAATTTGAAATCAAAAAAAGCTATGAAATTGTTTTCTTTTTAAGTGTTCTAGAATTTTTATATTATAAGACACATAATTCTATATATATATAGAAAGACTTTATATTAATAGTAGTTTAAAAGTCAAGTTATAATTATTATTAAACGTCATACAAAAATAAATTTTGTCAGTTGAACCCATAGACAAGGGATAGGTTGGATGAGTGGTTAGTTGAATCTAAAAATCATGTAGGTACTACCGGCCCAAAACAGTAGAGGGGTATAACCAGAGATGGCGCCACTACCTACCACTTATTATTGTGCAAATAATTGAGGTTATGCAACTGTCAGTTTATCGCTTTCTGAAAACAATGGAGAAAGCTCCTATTTAAATTATTAGTACAGAATTATTATATACTTAAGTATATAATAATTCTGTACTTATATGAAAATTATCGAGTTTGCGACATTTTTTCACTTTTGACGTTTGAGATATGTTATAGTATAGGTTATGTACATGAATTTATTCTACAGTGCCCTGTAAGTTTACAATTTCTTTGCTGATTTCGAACTAAACGCGATAGATGGAACCACTCTTCCTATATAATATCAATGTATTCTCATTATTGTACGGCGGTGTATAATAATTTGACTTTAAAGCTGCGTATGAATATGTAGTCTTTTTATATAGGCTTATGAGTTTTATAATATGAGCTTGAAAGAAAATAATATTTTCTTGAAATCTATGCTGTAAAAAAATCTAAAATTATTTGCATTCTTTCTCTTTAAATGGATATAGCAATATTGTATCCAATTATTATTTTATAAAAAAGTGTTATTTATTATAATCTAAACAAACTATTGTTGTTATTGAGTAACGAAATTTTATTTTAATATAATAAAACAGTGAAATATTATCAGCTGCCTAATGGAGCATTAACTTAGTATAGAAACCCGGGTGAAAAATAAACTTTTCCCTCACTTAGATTTAGTGGGCTCTTTTCCTTTCTTTAATTAAATTTCTAAGTGCTATTTGGTATAAAAGAAACCAAAATCTGTCAATAGTGAATGTGTTTTTTTTGTGGAAAATGATTGGAATGTTTGGTGTTTATAAAACATCTATTAATACAGGTTGTCCTGAAATTAGTGCACCATACTTTAACAGCAGATTCTACGTGCAAAAATAAGAAAAAAGTCCCTATAAATATAGGTCGAGAAATCCCTCCTAAGGGAGCTACAGCCCCCGAAAAGGGAGCCCCTGAAGATGGTTTTTATCCAATATATATAAAAAAGTAAAAACACCCTGTCACTTACTACATGAAACTGTCACCTGTCTTAAATTATTTTATTTTTTCCTAAACATGGCAGCCGTATTCCAAGGACCACGCGAGTCCATTTCTATGGTTGTGATTTAATTGTGAATTTTTATGCCATGTAAAATAATTTTCAAATCGATTTTATGCGAAAACGGTGTATGTTATCGAAGTTCAACAAGATGACCTTTTTTATGTGCAAAACTCTAAAATTTTATAATCTGACACCAAATTCTGGTACAAGATACGTACAAAAAAGTTAAGGTGGTTTTAACCCTACTTCCTATCAATCTGACCCAAACCACATAAAAAATTTTAAATTGTTATTGTTACGTCTTATTGGTCATAAAAAGTTTAATTAATTCCCCAAATTTCATTTTTATATTTTTAACGGTTTTGGAGATATTAAATAAAAACCATATTTAGGGGCTTTCCTTTTGGGGGCTGTAGCTCCCTTAAGAGGCATTTCTTGACCTATGTTTATAGGGACTTTTTTTCTTATTTTTGCACGTACAATCTGCTGTTAAAGCATACATACATATGTATATATATATATATATATATATATATATATATATATATATATATATATATATATATATATATCAATATATATATATATATATATATATATATATATATATGTTTTCAATATTGTTGACATGTAAAAGCCAATAAGAAGTGTTTAAAGTAATCATAAACGATTTACAACTGTTTCCTATTTGTTGGGAAATAAACAAGGTATTTAAAAAATGTATAGTATACTATACATTTTTTAAATACCTTGTTTATTTTCTTTATAAAGAAACCATTAAAATTATGTTTTAAATTTAATCTTCGCATCTGGTATGTATACTTATCGCAATTTTTAAACGATTAAGGATTTATGAACAACCTGTGAGGTGTTAAAAACACGCGTAAAGGTTGCGTCAAAATGTGTTATGGCTTTATATACGTAAAACCATTACTCAATGGTAAAACTATATTAATCACTTATCGATAGGTTATTTATATTACAATCATAACATTATAACTTTTATAAAGAATGTATTACTCTTAGAGGCAATTTATCCATAAAATAGTAATTTTTAAGCATATTCTTTTTGAAAGAGTTCTAAATTATAAATATACTTTAAATGTGTTCATAAACAATATTGCTCCAATGGCGTCCAAAATCATAACAAAAATGCATTACTTTGGACTTGTATTTCAATTCAATTTAATATTTGATTATGTTCATCACAAGTTCCAGTTGGAAACTTTCATTTTAACGTTAATTACTAACGTGAGTAAATTGCATTTAATGTAGTTAAAAATTTACTTTTTAAAAGGAAACTTCAAACTTCTATTTAAAGAGGTTTTCTCACCGATAAATGAATGATGACATTCCTTGCTATCTTTAAAGTCGACTATTTAAAGTGACTTTCACCAACCCAACATAGAAAGAAATGGAAACATTTTTTAAGTTTAAATAGGTATACAGGGTGTTATGTAATTAATGTTATATATTAAAATACTAAATACCTTTTGACATAAGGAGTAAAGGAAAAATATTTAAAAAAATATTTTTTCCAAAGATAAAGAAAAAATATGCATTAGAAGTTTTTTATATTTTTTGTGATACGCCACTGGTTACACACTTGGTTTACCTCTGCACACTTGTGTTCTGTGAGTACATAGATACCAACCAACAAAGTAGCTGCGTGTTGCCAAATGTAAAAAATTGTTACTAAAAATTTTTCTTGCAAAAAATAAATAAAAACTCAATAAATAGGTACAAGTTTTATGCCCTTAAAGCTTTAATACCCTTTTGTATTTATTTACTCATCCAGCTAATAGCTTAAGCAATGATTAGAAAATTTAGTACCTATTTTAAAAAATCCATAACCACAAAATTAATTTTTTCATCGGTTTTTTTCTTTCTGTTTACTCAGATGAAATTGGGACCAGTTCACAGGTTAAAGTTTAAACATTTAATTTGTGTAAAAAAATCCAAAAGCACTTCCCTTAGTTAAGATTATTACAATTTGAGCACATAACCTAAAATTTTAAAGAAATGCACTCGATTCTGTCATAAAAGTTGGCAAATTTTGTTTAAATTTACCTTCAGTACAAAAATGACATAACCAACAATTAATAAAAACGCCAAATTGACAATTTACATTGTAAATTTTGTCATTTTTGTAATTAAGCTAAATTTAATTTAAACAATGTTTGTCAACTTTTTTGACAGAATCTGGTTGTTATCAACCATAACATAATAAATTAAATTAGGCAACCAGACTAGTCTAAAGTTCCTAGTCGATCAGTGGTGTACTTTTTGGTAAGATAAAGGTTATTATAAATTATTTTTAGTATTTGGAATTTCAGGTGCTTCTTTATGGACCCTAAGGAACAACCCATTTTAATATATAACATTAATTACATAACACCCTGTATATATATAAAAAGTTATATATATATATATATAAATATAAATATATTTTTGTTTAGCGCACTCATTAACTTTGATTGACCGCCTCAACGGTAAAAAAGCAAAAACGGGTATTATATTATGGATTGTATATAATATTATGTTGCCATGAATTTGCAAACCAAAGTTTCGCAGTTATGAAGAAATGATATTTCTTCTATAAAACAGTATATCCGGCAAATGGCTACACTGCTTTGTTAAGTAGTGCAAAATTAAGATAAATCAAGTGATTATAAATAATTATTTTAATATTGTTTTTTAAATATTTGCTTGCCCATAGAAAAGTCATAAAAGTGTAAATAGGAATTTTCGATAAAAATATTTTAATTATTATTCAGGTTTCAGGGGTTGTATTTTGAACGAGAATTTTAATGTAATTCAAATACAAAATAAAAACTGCTTTTTTTGTTTATAAATTTTAATTTACTTCTTTTAAAAATATTTTTTAAATTGTAATTTTATGCTTTGTTTTTACAAAATATTTAAGGTTAAAATATAAATTAAAGCTCGAAATTTAGATTCAGGTAGAATTGTTTTGAAATTCTAACCTTAATAAAAATGTTTTTACTAATTCAATCTATTATTAAATTAATTAAAACTTTTGAGTGTCATAATTAATAATTCATTTAAATAATTTTTAAATCCAAGATTTGTTGTTGAAATGAACAAATAATTTTGCATTTTTTAATTAAATAAAAACTAAGAGGGGAGCAAAATTAAATTTTGACAAAAGAATAATCCTGAAGGAAATCCTACAGATTCAGAAATATT